CCAGAGAAGCTGATGAAGCAGAGATCGGCTTCATCAGCTTCTCTAACTGGAGAGTGACACTGAATGCAGGAAGTGATGTAATATACATCACTTCCTGCATTCGGGGACTGAGAGGAGATCAAAAGGGAGTTCGTATACTGATCTCCCTTTGATCTCCTAACACAGAGCCGTGCCGGTCCCGGCCGCATCGGGTACAGCGGATCTCGGGACCGGCAACGGCAGTGACAGCTGCTGATACAAGCGATGGAGTGTCTCTCAAGACGCTCGATCGCTTGACTGTAAAGCTCCCGGCCGGCTGTGTAATTACAACGGCCGGCCGGGAAGCTGCTCGTCGGGCTCCACCGTCCTCTCGTCACAGACGAACAGACGAGTGGATTTTTCAAGCCCTGGATATATATATATTTGCTGTGTCCAGCCTCTGCTTTTAACCAGCATCAATTTTGCCAGGTACTCGAGAGCTAAGCTGTTCTAGACATCCAACAGAACTAACCACAATTCTTCTGTGGATTTAGGCTGTCTCATTTGCTTCTAGCTCTTTATATAATCCCAGACAGACTTTGTGATGTTGCGATCAGGCCTCTGTGTGGGCCAACTGTCTCTTCCAGGACTCCTTGTTCTTTTCACTGCAGATAATTCTTTATGACTTTGGATGCGTGTCTGAGGTCATTGTCCTGCTGCGGAATTAATTTAAGATTGATCAGACCCCTCCCTGATGGTACTGCATAATTGATAGTTATCTGCCTGTACTTTTCAGAATTGAGGGGACCATTAACTTTGACCACATCCCCAAATCCATGCACAGAAATTCAGCCCCAAACCTGCACCATGTTTTACTGTTGCCTGCAGACACTGTTGCTTACACCGCTTTCCAGGTCTTCGGTGAACAAACTGCTTTCTCACTCATCAGTCCAGTGCACCTTCTGCCATTTTTCTGCACATCAATTCTTGCGTTTTTGTGAATAAGCAATCACTTATTCACCTAGTTTCCACATCAGAGGCATAGCTTTTTAGCCACAACACCTCCACGAAGACCACATCTTACCGGACTTCTCCAGACTGCAGACGGATGTACCAGGGTCTAACTGCTTTCTGCCAGGTCTCATGGTTCAACTGGACATCTTCTGATTGCAAAGCAAAGTCAGCATGATGTATCTTTCAACTGCACTATGTTTCCTTGCCCACCCACTGCTTTTTCAGTCCTTAACAGTGCCTGTTTCTTTGTGCTTCTCTAGAAGAGCTTGAACAGCACATCTGGAAACATCAGACCTTGTTGATGCAGTAAAACCAGACTTTGCCTCATTGTGTGCTCAGTCTTGCCACTGTGTATGTATGACTTTGTACATTTAACTTGTCTTCAGCAACCTCAACATGATAGTAGAGCATGGATTTTCTTCCCCAGTTTTATTCCTCCTGAACAACTGATTAAGTCTGATTTAATGTTTGTATTTAACATCAGTAATACGTAAATGAGTGCAAGCGTACCTGGGAGAATTGATGCAGTTTCAAAGGCAAAGGGTGGGCACCAAGTATTAATTTAATTTAGATTATTTTTTCTATGCATGCAGTTTGTAGGTTAATTGATAAAAAAACTATTTTTGCAAGGGTTCTTACTTTACATTTTTCACTAATGACTAAATCCTTTGCCCTATACTGTATATATGAATATCTATACATATTTATGACACAAGGCAGGAAAGCTATATTATAAGCACAGAGGAAGATACATTTTGACATATGATTATTTACCTCTCACTCTTGCTTTGCAGCTTGACAAGCTCAGAGCTCAGATCTTGTTCTTTCTGAGACAGTTCTCTCCCCTCCTTCTCCACCTTTTTTCTGGCCTCCTCCTTCTTAATTGTCAAATCTTGAATAGATTTTAAATTCTCCTATGACAGGATAAGGATATTATGGACCAAACATATACATTGGAACAAAATTATATATATATATGATAATAACTTCTACTTTGATAATGGGACAGCTAATAATGTGCTCCGCAATTATACATCTATGTAAGTAACATTTAAGTAAAAAATAAAGTTAAAGCACTGTACAAGGCACATATAGATCTAAATTATATTTATCCTTATGCACCTATGTTTAGTAGATGCATGTGGTATGCAGGCAATAGCCTAAGTGCGCTTTATAGAAACACAGGTTTAACATTTGTTTCCTTTAGCCCAACAAATAGGACAATACATATATTCAACTATTGGGGGTAACATTCCAGGAAAAGTTCAGTGTGAATGAGGCACTCATCCAATACAATGGAACCTAAACAGAAGGCAAAATAACTGGGTGTAAAGCCTCAGAGGGAAGCTGCCATTTTATGACTGTCTAGACAGCCTACTGGTTCTAGAGGTGCAACTCTCAAACCGCTGAACAGGTACAGCTCTCCAAACCCAAAACATGTACTGTAAGTGGTCTGAAAATCCAATAATGGAAACTTCTGCCTGCGGAGTTGGGTGTTTTTCCTCCTGACTGAAACCCTTTAATATTAGCAACAATGCCCTAAAGTTTTTGACATAGGTAATTCAAGTTAATGGCAGATTGCTTTTGAACAGAAGACTAAAGCTATCCTTAGACGGAAATTATTGTTACTCTCTCCAGGCACAGTCGACCGAAGGTGACTAAATTGTGTCTGAACCTATGACTATCCTCGTACATTTACAGCCAGCTTCCTTCTAATCACAATGAACTTTCTCAGCACCATGTCTCCCTGTATACGCCATACAGACACAGGCACTCGGAAATCCTTGCATTGGGCTTTAACGATAAAAGCTTCTAAGGGAACATTGTTTCAGAGAGTTTGGAGCAGCCATTGTAACCCATCTGATTCTCATACAGTACAGGAGAAGGAGAGAACAGTATAAGATGCTGTGAAAAGGATAACTTTGGACACGTTGATAAATGAGGCACGCAAAGTATAAAAAAAACGGTTTCATTTTGCTGTAAAGCCCGACTTTCACAGAATTTCAATATTATGTTGCAGGGAACACAACACAAAGTGAAATACCACAATTATACGAGCGGTTACATCTTTTCACACCTTATGTTTGTGCGTTTCCTCTTCTCTCTTCTGCTTCAGTTGTTTGATTTGAACTTGCAGGTTTTTTTCTAAACGGGTCTGTCTGTCGAGCACCTTTTGGTAACTGTTCTTTAGCTGTTCTCTGCAGCTGATGAGTTGCTTCTGCAAAGTAAAGATGTGAAGGGTGAAGTATAATCTGCTGATATTCCTTGGTTCCTTCCTCATTATCATGAAATGACATTTTTAACTAAAGCCTTTTTGGTTTTCATTACATATCTTACGTTAGACCCAGTGATGTCATCACTAGGTCTCTGTGCAATGTAGGCAGATCATGGCTTGTGGGGAGGGGCAAAGTGCTGTATATAACTTCCTCAAAACATCACAGCATCCTGCCTCAGTGCTCCTCTAATGAGTTCTCAACCTTGATGCAAGCAGTGGACTGATTCTTGGATTCTATGCAGATATCAAAATGCCTTGATGGGTGGATGTCGGCCTGGAGGAGTGGGCATTTCTAGGCAGACTGCCCCAGGTAACACCCACATGTGATGCTGAGGCTCCATGATTGAAAGAACTGAAATGCAATGAATGAAAGGAGCAGGCCAGTGACAGTAAGGCTGGGGAGAAATGTGCTAGATGATGCTGGATGTAATTCAGCCAGAAAATGAGATGAGCTCTATCTGACTTGCTGCAACTTCTCATACACTTCTGTGCAGTGAAATCAGGGTAAGTTATTTTAGTGCAGTAGAGTAGTCTGTGCAACACTGAAGGTAAGGCTGGAGTTCAGTTGTAACACAGAGAAGCATGGCCACTGAAGGTAAGGCTAGAGTTCCTCTGTGACACAGAGAAGCATGGTCACTGAAGGTAAGGCTGGAGTTCCTCTGTGACACAGAGAAGCATGGCCACTGAAGGTCAACATCAAACAAGTGTACACAAATACTTACAAGAAACTTCTCTGTCTCCCCATCTGTGATTGTCTCCGCATCTTGCTTACTATACTCTGTCTAAAGGAAAGGGTTAAAGATTACAATTTTTTTCATAATTCTGAAGAAGTTAATATTAAAAGGTAGATCTATTCTAAACCCAATCATTAAATCACATATAAGATGTCTGGTGATCCTGCCTTGAAAGTCCCCCTGTTATAAAGAAACAACTGCACCCTTATTTGTGCTCCTGCGTTGTTACCCTGCCAACTGCACCTTTGGTGAAGACTACAAACCGCTATGCTGACACACATTGCACCGGCATGGTCCACTGTTGTCACAATGAGCAAGCTGGTCCAGAGCAGTAGCACGCAGCTGACACTGGAGCAAGTGCATGTGGACAGAAAGTGACTGAAATTGGCAGAACATCAGTAGCACTGAGATTCAAAACAGGGTATAAAAATATAAAAACAATATTTTATGATAAAAAAAAAACACACGGCAATTGTTTTGATACACAGTGCTTTAGCAAACTAAGGGCTTGTTCACACCAAATCCAGACCAGATCTAGATCAGTTTCTGCATATGCAGTGCTTTCGGGTGTAGTCCAGTGCGTTCCAGAACGTTTGCATGCGCTTTGGTGCGTTCCAGAGCTGAAAAAATAGTGCCTGCTGCAGTTTTTCCACATGCTCTGGAACTGAACGCTCTGCTGTGAACTAGTAGTCCAAAATACCATTGGAATACATTAGATGCATTTTTCATGCTTTCCTAAACTGCTCTGCTCCGCACTTGGTGTGAACAAGCCTTCAATGTCTTCCACTTAGGGTTCAGATCTACATTACATATTGAGAGCCCATTCACACCAGGATGGCTGCGGATCAGCGCGGTTTCCGCGCAGATTTCAAAACAGAGGTTTTGTGAGTTTTTAATTGCATTTCAGCGTTGAAATGCAATTAAAAACGCAGAAAACCGCGCTGATCAGCGCAGTTCCATTGAAAGCTGTATGGAAACCGCACTGATCAGCGTGGCAAAAATAGCGCAGGGAGCAATTCGGGCGGGGGGCGGTTCAGAACGCGCTGAGCCGCGCGGTCGCATGAACGGTCCCCATAGCAATGTATGGGATCGTTCATATCGGCGAATCCGCACGGGCGAACCGCCCCGGTGTGAACGGGGCCTAATTCAATCATTACATTTAAGTGCTTTTTAAAAATGATATACGCTGTTCATCAACATTTACATTGACTAAATACAAATTCTACACTCACTGAAGTTTTGCTGTCTGAGATATTTTTTATTTAAAAGTATTTTTTCCCTCTCAGCGTTCTGTGACGCGCTCCCCAGCTTGACTGAGGAAACACAAAAGACTGAGGGAGTGGAGGAGAGGAGGGGCTTTTAAACAGATTAAGTGGCGTGTTTCCTGTGTGTGGGGGAGGAGATTCCATCTCGTGATGCTGTCCTGGAAGACGTTATGGGAAATATCCTGTTTGTTGTTTATATCAATATTAATATCTGGTTGTTCTGTTTGCAACTGGCCGTGAACAGTGAAAACCTGAAGTGGACCTCCATCCAGATGTTCTGTAACCATGTGGCTGCCTGCTGTGGGATCCCCAAATAACACCTTCTGCAGTGAAGGTCAATAGAGCAGAAGTATTATATCTTGTAACCCTTTGTGGCAGGAGGGTGTGATATTTGATGATAGGTCCATGTGTGCTGCACAAACCCCCCCCCCACCAAACTACACCTCTCTCCACACGCAGGTTCAATGAGTCTCCACTGGGGGCCCTTCAAGAGCACAATAAATGTGGGGAATGTATCAAAACTGGAGCAATTGTGCATGCCAACCAATCAGCTTCTCTCTTTCATTGTCAAAACGTAACTGAACAAACTGAAGAGATAAGCTGATTGGTGACTATGGGCAACTGCTCCAGTTTTAATATATTCCCTCAAGGTATTGTAAACAAACAGACATTTTCCTATTTACACATAGGCCACTGATATGCTTCCAAAATACCTGTGCTGAGTCCCAGACTCCCTGATCTGAGTTCCAGAACACCAGATTACCTAAATCCATTGGGTTTTGCAGAAGGATTTAGCTTGGTATACAAGCATTAATGGAAAAGCAAGGCACTGAGCATTGAGACTGTGCACCCCATGTGTTATCTATGGGTCTGACTGGAATGTACATTTAAACTCTTCAATGTAGCAGGGGGAATTTATCAAAACTGGAGCAGACAGAATCTTGAGTAGTTCAATGCTCAACTAAAGAAACTAAAAAGAGAAACTGATTGGTTGCTATGGGCTCCAGATTCTGCTTCAGTTTTGATAAATCCCTCCCACCCATATACCCACATATAGCTTCTCACCTGCACAGAAATGCACTTAGTTTGACGCTCATTGTGATGTTCTCCATTCTGGGGCGCCAGTGGTCTGCGCTGGTTGTTTTCTGTGTCCAGCTGGCATCCAATGTCACCTTCAACAGAACTCTGAGCTTCTAACATTTTCCAGCTCTGGGTAGGTCAGCTTTTCTGGTGTCAAATTAACCATGAATTACATTAGCCTGTAAAATCAAAATTCAGAAATCATTTCACATGCCTTGGTTAGGTCACACTTCAGATATAACCGACCATTTATACAGGACTATAAAGTCTTCTTAAACAGACTCAGATACCAACTCTAGTCTAAAGGTGGCGCTGCAGGACAAATCTAAAACCGTGCCACAATAAGGCTGGGTTCACACCTAGGTGTATTGAATATGCGCGTTTGTCGCGGGTTTTTATTACGTTTTTAACGAGGGCTACTTGGCTATATCCCTATGGAAACGCGCAACCAAAACGCCCCAAAGAAGTACATGTACTTCTTTGGGCGTAGGCCGTTTTGTAGCGCGTTCAGACGGGCTGAAATATGCCCAGGTGTGAACCATACCCATAGGAAACAATGGGATTTCGGTGTTTGAGCGTTTTGCAGAGCGTTCGAACGCGCTACAAAACGCCCAGGTGTGAACCAGACCTAAAAGCCTACTTCTTCAAGGAATGCGTTCATACTACAGTGACGGCAACCATGTCTTGGCAACTTAGGCTTTTAGCATGTCCTGGGAGAAATGTAAAGGTATCTTTTAGAGCAGTGGTTCTCAACCTGTGTAACCTCAGGACCCACATTTGTCCTTGGTCATTAAGGCACGACCCAAGTCACACCACACTGGAACGCATGGCATTGCGGTACCACGCGTTCCGGTGTGGGCAACCGAACCTGTAGAGGTGCCGTGAGCCAGAATGTGATGTCACTCCGGTCCAGGCACCTCTACAGGGCACGTAAGGGAGCTGCAAGCAATGTACGTATGGATGGAGCTCCCTCGCAGGCATACCTCCAACCCACTCCACCTCAAGCTGAGACTCGATGCCGGGCAGCATGTTTTGAATGGCTGCTGGGCACGAGAACGGAAAGTGCTTCGCTAGGGGGAGGCTGAGAAGCCTCTGACCTAGTGCAGTGGAAGACACACCTACCCACCAGTTGAGAACCACGGTTTTAGAGGGTATCTTCCATTGCTCCCAACTGTCAATACAAAAATGTGCAGAGTTATTTTTCTGCAAAATGCATTTTATAAAAGGAATAGTGTGAGCAAAACGCAACAAGTTAATGTTAGCAACAAATATGAAATATCAAAGCGTAATTCCTGAAGCCCAGCTCCTATTGAAAAAAAAAAATGAACTAGCGTTCCATTTGAAATTGTCTCAAACTCACCTGCTTAAAGGAGAACTATGGGGTCAGGGCTTTCCCATAGTTCTCCTAAGGGTCACGGGAGAACACAAACTAGCGTTCTCCTGGGGCCCCAAGCTCAGTATACCGCGAGCTACAGCTCGCGGTATACTGAGGCGCCGCAGCCGGGACGGATCCCGACAATACTGTCTGGATCCACCCAGCTGCGTGAGTGACAGCTGGCTCTGCCTATCCAGAGGCAGAGACAGCTGTGCCAGCCCGTTTCACCAGTCAGCGCTGGAGGATCGGACAGGGGAGGGGGGGGAATCCCTGCAGGGAGCCGTGAGTGACAGTCACGGCTCTCTGCAGGGATAGATCGAGAAGCGAGCGAGCGACGGTATGTGTTTGCTCACTTTCCGATCTACTGAGCCGACCTGTGACAGTTTCATTGTCACAGGTCGGCTCAGTTTATAAAGCTGAGTGAAAATCACTCGCCTCATAATTCTCCTTTAAAGCTGAACTCCACGCACAAAAAGTGTCATTCAAATATATTCAACAATAGCCACAAAGGATATACATCTACTTTGTGTGTGCCAAATGTCTTTGCAAAACCAATTGTTTCCTTGAAAAAGTAGCAGTGGCATCATCACTGTGCTGTATATAACCTGTGCAAAATGCAGAACTGTGGTAGGAACCCAGCAGGCCCCACCCACTACAGGCTGCCTTCAGAAAACTACAGCAGGGGGTGGAGACAAGACCAGTCACCCTGAAAAAGGAGAGAGAGCAGTGACTGGTCTTTATTACAGGAAGCTGGCCAGAGGCCAGATTACTGCACAGATCTGGAAGAAATACGCAAAGCTCACAAAGATTCCAGTAAGAATGCACATAACTCTTATATTTAGACAATATCTGATTATCCCAGAGTTCAGCTTTAACATTTGACAATATTGATAAATATGTCACATCAAATCATCCAAATACTTCACAACTGCTCTGCTGTCAGCCCTGCCAGACTACAAAACACCTACCCCTTATCTTGAGAGGAGGTGTTCTGCAATCCAGCAGTGGAAGAACCGGACATGGGGACTGTTTATGATACATATAGGAAACAAAGGGCCTGTTCACACCTATGCATCACGTGATACTGTGTGATTTTTGCACAGTGCACATAACATGCATTACGGTGCGGCAGGTGGGTTGCTACTTCAAGTTTCCCCTTATGCCACCACCGGCCCTGGGAATGGTCACAACTAGGTCTTATTTTCGGGGAAACAGGGTATTTGATTAGCAAAACAAATGGCAAACGCACTCATCAATTTGTTACCAGCTTTACAGCAAGGTGCACATGGAAAGGCTTTAAACAGTAACAGCAAAAAGTTTCCCAGCACACTCACCAGCCAGCATGTAAAAAAACTTGTCTCACCTCTAAGGTTAAAAACAGAGTTTTGCTTAACTGATTTGGTGCAGTGACGCATGGGGGGGCCTCAGCTGCCGTTGTGATGTGCGGGGTCCCTTGTACGTATCTGTGCCTTTAAGGGAGGTTGGGCTTCCTCCTGACAAACCTGCACCCAATTTGATTGTTTGCCACATGTGCTCCAAGATGGAGATTCTCATAGTTTAGAGTTAGGACCGCACTATAAGAGGTGCCTTAGCGCAGCTTTCACATTTTCTGCAGAAGACTTGTATCTAAACCTCTGTTTTTAACCTTAGTGGTGAGACAAGTTTTTTTGCATGCTGGCTGGAGAGTGTGCTGGGAAACTTTTTGCTATTTGAATAGCACCCCAACACACCTTCCGACCGCAGCACGGTATTGCAACACAGCTGTGGCCAGGAGTTGTGCCGGAGTGACATTCAAATGAATGGCAACACAACTCACCTTCCACACTATATGCTATGCTATGTGCGATTCTGTGCATTAGTCACATAGGTTTGGGTGTGAACATGTGTAGCTGTGTGGCAAGGAATGCCCTGTCGACAACGGCTGGCTGGGAAGAGGAATGTGTTACTGACAGTTTTGTGGATCAAACTCCGAAGTGATGAAGCCTCAATTGATCCCAATGGTAGTGTCAGCACAATGGAAATTACTGCCCTGAAAATAACCCAAATGGGATGGCAGGGGGGCATTTCTAAACTGACCCAAGAACCATGGTGTGGACACACACACCAATATTAATACAATCCCTTTCCCCTCACACACCGCCTCCATAACACTGATCATTAGTATCACCCCCGGAACATGACAACACTCACAGCTCCAACACTGCACCACACGAGAATTCTCTCCCCCACACTATCACCAGGAAGTTTCAGTCTACTTCCGGTCCGTGCGTTTCACCGGGCCCCGCCCCGGAAGTTTCGGTGACGTCACTAGCAGAGCCGAGGTGAATGCGGAAGTGGAGAGGGTAGCAGAGGAGGGGGACAGGTAAGTGAAGTGTACAGGTGATGTTGTACCTGGGGCAGGACAGGTGTGTTCAGGGGACAGGTAAGATATCATGCAGAGACAATGTTCGTGCTCTGGAAGTTGTGCTTTCTTGTATGAGTACACTTGGTGTTTGGGGCTGTAATTGGTTGTTTCTCTAGCTGGGTTTTGGTCTCAGGGGGCTGTACCAGGCGGTTGTTTACATTTCCTCATTCTCATTCTTGTGTTACTGGGAGTTCATTGTTTCAGTCACTGCACTGAGCATGGCCTGGTAAAATGGACCTGTTATGAGAGATATACAGAAGCAGCTTTTACTGGTTTCTACCTACAATGCTGATTGCCTGGCTGTGAGGCTGATTGTTTTGGGGTTTTCTGACCGGAAACAATCATAGATGAGGACTTCTGACATCTCTCTGACTTTTATTTGATGTTGTATTATGACAGGTGTACTGTTTAGTACCACTAGAAGGGAGAAATATGTAGGCTCTCATTGCTGGCCTTCTTCTGATAATGCTGATTGCCTGGCTGCCCCTGGCGTCTAAGAATAATCCGCCTTTTGGACCATGTTTCATGTTATCCCATTTATTTAGGGTGTATGATAGAGCATGGACACATTCCCTGTTTCCATACCTGACTTGCTGGGTTTCTCCCAACTGGATTTTGTATAGGTTTGAATTTGGCACCACAATATTAATTAACAAATTCTTTCAAAGGATCTGTGAATGAAAAGACTACAAGTCCCATCTGGCACCGAGGGAAAGGGAATGGAAGCTCTCTGTACAGAACAAGTGTGATGTCACTGCACTTGTAGTCCTTTGCTCCCTTTCAGATGGGTGTTCTGATCAGGTCCACCTGTCAGCTTTGCATGTGGATCTGATTGGAAGCCCAATGTAACTTTATGGGCAGCCGGATCTAAACAGAGTTGTGTCCGATTACATCTGATTACCCCTCACTCCTGCCAGGCTAGGAAAACAAAGCAAAGCGGCACAGAGTTCCATTTCTGCAGACCTGATCATGACGGATCGGGGGTAATGTGATGTAAAGTGACACATGTCCGTTTTTATCCGATTCCACATAGACCAGCATGTGTCCGATTGCTTTAGTTTTTTCCTCCATTATAAGATGGAGGAAAAAACTGGATGGCCACGGATACCACAATGGTGACATCTGTTCCGTACTGCTCCAGTCAGCTGGGGATCCATGCACGGGTCCTCTTTTGATCGAACTGACAGGCGCCCCTGTGAGAGGGGCCTGAAGGTTGGTCCATACCTTGCTACAGACTTGGGGCTGGGAGAGCAGTCTGCAGGAACCATTGCACCCTGATCCACTGACTGTGGTTGGTCCAATGCAAAAAAAAGATGAATGCACATCTTTTTCTTTGATTATTGTGTGTGCATTTGTTACTTTTTTGAAAAAGTGGACTATGCCTTCAAACAAGTATACATCATGTGGCAGAGTTCCTTACTGCTATATCTGGTCAGTGACTCGTAAGGCATTGAAGCCAAATTGTCAGTCTGACAGGCCACCAAGCATTTTCATAGGGAGATGTCACAAATGGAAGTCAACCTGTACTTGAAGCAAATAATTTTTTGTATTCGCTTCTTGTTTTATCCTTTATGCTTTTTCAATTGAAATATATTTTAAAATATCTGTTCTTGACAAAAAGATTGCCATTAGAAATTCTTGTCCAGGATGGTACAAAGGTTCTGTCTTTATCAACATGTATAGAATAGAGTATAGCGTATTGAAGCAGATCCAGTAAACTCCCCGTTATCCGGCATCCACATGGATTGGTCGATTCCGGATAAATGTCGTTTCTGGTTGCTTGAGAGTTTCTATTAGAAATAGGTCTTAACTAATGCCATACCCCATACTATATCATATCATATCATGACAAAAACTCTGTATTGACACAATATTTTCCAGGATGATACATGCCGCAGAACAGTGAGTACACAGGGGATTTTTTTTTTCTGGTTAGATGAGAGTTTTGGTTAGTTGAATACTGGATAATAGAGAGTTTATGTTATATAAGATCAGGGGAGTCCAAACTTTGACCCTCCTGCTGTTGTGGAAATAAAATTCCCATAAGACATTGCAAGACTCTGGCAGGGAGAGGCATGACTTCCAGAGGCAAATGCTTGATGTGTTTTGTAGTTTTCCTTCAGCTGGAGGCCAAAGTTTGGTTACCACTGCTTTAGATGGTTCACTGTAAAATCACAGCGGGCTCTCAGATATCACCAACTTTGTTCATCCACTTAAAGTGACACTGACATTAAGTAAACAAGGGGGCTGCCGTTGCTAAAGAAAGTGCTGGTTGCCTGTCAGTGTCTGACTGAAGTCACAGACTCGGAACAAGAATGCTGTAAATGAGTGTCAGGATTCCTTTTATCTGTACTTGTTCCGGGTCTGACTTCTCAAAATGCTGGCTGCCTGGTCCTAGGAAGTGACTCCAAATGTACCGTAACAAGTAGTGCAGCCTGACTGTCAAGCAAACTAGATTCTCTGAAGCAGAGGTGAGCAATGGCAGTCACCAGATTTCCTTTCAGTTAAACCTATGGTAACAGAATACAGAGGTTGCCACTGCTGAACTTCCCTTAAAGATAGTTGCCTGGCTGCTATTCTGATTATCTGTGGTATAGTACTTTGTCACTGATTTGGAACAAGTATGTAGATCGGGGTGGACAAATTCATATGGAATTCAGATGCCAGTCTGTCTAATCCTTATCCGCTTTAAAAGTTAGGCGCCAGCTGTAATTTTTAAGGAGCATTGGCGACCTAGCTCCTGGAATTTCTCCAGCCCTGATGTAGATAAAGTGGAAAGCAGAAATCACCAGCACTCGGTAAATATCTTTGATGTCCATTTAATCGGACCAATCGGGACCACACAGGATCCCTTCATCAGGGCTACAATGTCGCCCTGATGACAGTGACATTGTCGCCCTGATGAAGGGATCCTGTGTGATTTCTGCTGTGCTAGGTGAGAGTCCTCCTCAGCCCTCTCCTAGCGCAGCAGTGTCAGTTCTCCCGCCACGCCGCCAGATGTCGCTAAATTTTACCGTTGGGGGTCACCACAACTTGGCAAATGTTACCAAGGGGTCCCGGCCCTAGAAAGGTTGAGAACCACTGATTTAATCGGACCAATCGTCAATTGTCATGTACAAAATAGCGACGTTTCGGGACCACACCGGATCCCTTCATCAGGGCGACAACGTCAATGTCGCCCTGATGACAATGACATTGTCGCCCTGATGAAGGGATCCTGTGTGATTTCTGCTTTCCACTGTTTGTTGCACGGTGTCATCCGTGATTGTCACTGCGAGCACCACAACAAGTACTTGGGCCAGGAGCGCTGTGAGGAGTGCAGAGACTACTTTCTCTGATGTAGATAAAGACTTCTGAAATGAGTTGGTCTGAATATTTGTTACTTGTCATTGGCTCAGATCGTATTGAAGCCAGTGGGTTGGCATGATAGCCAGGCATCTGGCACTTACAGATGAGCTTGGACAACAAATTGAGATGAGCATTGGTTGCACTCATATTTCTCTGAAAACAGACTTCCTTTCACATAGTGGGGGTTGCCTGGACAGCCTTTATAACTTATATATACTGTGTCATAAAAACTGTTGCTTCTGTTACATTACACCCTGCAAGGGTAGTTTTTTGGTTTGCACGGAGATAGGCTTTAAGACTCTTTGGTTTACACCAGAGAGGATTAATGTGGTTAGTCTACCAAATATGTACCTTGAAGATGAATTTCCTTTCAGGCCACTGCTCTTTGATCTTTTTTTTTTTTTTTATGTCATTATTAACAATCCTGTGCTTTTTCCCCACAGGTCCCAATGCCCTCGCTGGGTCGTTTCCTGTGTAATGGGCCATCACAATGTTTTATTTTCCCAACCTTTTCATGTGCCTTTGTAGTCTTTTCACATGGTCAATCTTCCTCTCGGCTTCCACACACGCTGCCTGCTCGCCCTCCACTAACAATGCCGATGCCACGGGGCTGGTGGAAGAGCTGACCTGGGCTGTCCGTCTGGACCCCTCTCAAGGCTCTGGACGGAGAGAGGAGTTGGATGCTCTTGCCAATGAACTTTCGGATTTTGCAGGGCTTGAAAACCGAGGTGTCATAGGAGAATTAAAAGACCATTACCTTTTTGCACATGTAGGTGATGGACATTGTCATGAGGAAGTTCGTGAGACCATCCATGACCTTTTCACACAACACGACAGCGTGAGATGGTTCTCGGAACAAAAACTACTGAAGAGATCCAAGAGGAGTTTGCACTTTAATGATCCTAAATATCCATTACAGTGGCATTTGGTAAGACCTCTTCTGTGAATTTTGAAAGTGCTCATATATATGTTTGTAAGACGTAAAGCGAAATTATGGGCAAAGCCAAAAATTACTTATGTGCTGCATTCTGTCAATCAGCATTATCAGAGCAGGCTATGTTAACCCTTGTAACAGTTTTATTATCTGTGGATCCTGCCAGTAAATCCATTGGTTTTCTTTTACATTATCTAATATAAGTGCATCTAATACCCTGTCCACTGGGTGACAACTAGGGATGTCCCGATACAACTTTTTCAGGACCAAGTACAAGTACTTCCCCTCATGTACTTGCCTATACCAATTACCGATACTTTTTTTTTTAATGGGACAGGTGACTTTAAATGATCCATAGTACATAACATGTAGTTGTACTACGCATCATTTAACCCATTCATGTTAGCAGGTCAGAATTGTAAATCTACTGCAGTGCATTCTATATGTAGCACATATAGAATGCTACATATAGAATGCACTGCAGCAGTAGATTCTTCTTGTTCACAGAAAACACTAAGCCCAGGCCCCGTTTTACTCACTGTTGCCGCGATCGCGGTGCCTCACGATTTTCCTCACACGTGAGGATGTCGTCGGCGCTGATCTGGAGAGGAGTGTCGTGTCACTGCTGCTCCGGTGGGCGGCGCTCCAGATGGGGTCCTAATTTAGGTGGCCGGCGACTGCCTGGAGCAGCAGCGACGCTCGGCGCGGTAAGTATCGGTCCCGATACCGATGCTTGTATCGGTATCGGGACATCCCTAATACAGCTATTGCAACACAGATGTGGGTGAAAAGTCAGCTGGAAGGGGAAAGTTGCAACCAATCCTTGTGCAATGACCTGCATGGCTGGAGGAGGAGGAGTGACGGTCATGTGACAGCCATAGGAAGAGTGACAGTCATGTGACAGCCATAGGAAGAGTGACAGTCATGTGAGAGGAGGAAGTGTATTGATTGTCAACAAAAACACAGCAACTAAGGACAGAGAGACCACTTTATAAGCCCCTCCCCCCGCTTCCAGGTCACGTGTTTAGGTCGCACTCAACCTCATTGTTCCCCTCCAGGTGGGTGACTTGCACCTCTCTGTGCCCCGCAGCTGAGCTCAGCCCCCTCTGCACAACGCTCGGAGCCACAGCCAGCTGCTGTGTCAAACTCCCCATTGCCGGGCACTGTGAGAGCGTGCACACAAGAACTCCGGGATAGGCAAATATTGTCTAAATACAAGGGACATGTGTATTTGTACTTGAATCTTGGCATGCTTTGTGTATTTCATCCAGATCTGTGCAGTAATCCAGTGTGAAACTTTGCGTCTGTGCAGGAGCTTCCTGTAATAAAAACCAGTCACTGCTATTTCTCCCTGTTCAGATGACTGGTTTTGTCTCTGCCCCCTCGTGTGGTTTTCTGCAGGCAGCCTGTAGTGGGTGGAGCCTGCGGGGCCCCTCCCATAACTCTGCTCTCTGCACACGCTATGTACAACAAGATGATGATGGTTTGCAAGGTAATAGCTGCATTTGCGAAGGCATTTGGTACACACAAAGTGGATTTATATTCTTTGTGGCTATTAAGTAATAGACTTAAATACAAGTTTTGGTGCTTAGAGTTCAGCTTTATCCCCTTCCTAATGGGAGGCGTACACTGTACGTCCCGCCACGACATGCCCAAATGACTGATCACTTACACTGTACGTGATCAGCTACTTGCGGCTCTGTAATGCTTGTATCCTCTGAGAATCAGCGGTTACCATTCATTAATGGATGCTTCAGTATTGAGGCATCTATTGATGAAAGAGTTAAGCTTTTTCAGATACCCGATCCCTTTCAGGAATCGGGTGTCTGACAGTGAGTGCAGAGCGTTATTTACAGCTCTTGACCTTAACTCTGACAGCTGGTATAGATCGGGAAATCCCAATGTATACCGGCTTTTTTTTCCTATAAACTTTAAAGGAGAACTATGAGGTGAGTGCTTTTGACTCATCCTCATAGTTCTAGCCGGCCTGTGACAATGAAATTGTCACAGGTCGGCTCAGTAGATCGGGAGGTGAGCGAACACATACCGGTGTTTGCTCACTTCCCGATCCTGTCATGGCTCTCTGCCGTGACAGGGGAGGGGCTGAATTCCCCCCTCCCCGCTCCACCAGCGCTGACTGGCGGAACGGACAGGGGAGGGGGCAGGTACAGCTGACTGTGCCTCTAGATAGGCAGAGCCAGCTGTCACTCACGCAGCTGGGCGGATCTCGACATCGCTGTCGGGATGCGCTTCAGCTGCGCCGTCTCAGTATACCGTGAGCTGTAGCTTGCGGTATACTGAGCTTAGGGTGACGGGTGGACGCTAGTTTGTGTCCTCCCGTTACCCTAAGGAGAACTATAGGGAAAAGCCCTAACCCCATAGTTCTCCTTTTAAGCAATAGAAACATTTAGCTACATGTTTCTATTGCTGAAACAATGCTGCAGGCTTCTGATCGTTGTGGGAACGATCAGAAACCCTTTAGTGACATCTGATTGTGAAATGCTGAAGGATCAGTGTCACTAAGGTTATTATTGGCTGTTCTTAAGTTTGAAGCAGCCTAATAATAACCAAAAATGAATTAATTAAATTATCTAGCAGTAATAGTGAGATTCATTCACAATGACTGCTTGATATAATTAAATAAAATAGAAATGTAAAAAATGTTTAAAACAAATAGTGAAAAGTGTAAAAAAAAAAATGTAACAAATTAAAAAGGATATTTAAATATATTTTTATACTATCATTAATATAAAAATGAACCCATTGTAATGAAAGTCTGCAGCTGAGCTGCAGATTTGTTTTTCACCCCGAGGGTTTTTTTTAAATTTATTTAACCCCCTCATGACAATGATGTTCAAAGTATGTCGCTATCACTAAGAGCCCGTTCACATTGAGCGGTTCGCAAATCGCGCGTTTGACGCGCGATTTGCATTTTGCGCGATATCGCGCAAATGCTTGCATTAAGCCAGCTTGAATCGCGGCTAAATCCGCTCCAAAAAGGGTCCTGCTGTAGCGACACACGACCCGTGACAGCAGGACCCTTTGCCCCATTGAGAAGCATTGGAGAGCGATATCGCGCTGTAAATTGCCGCGATATCGCGGGAATTACCGCGCGATAGATCGCTCAATGTGAACGGGGTCTAAGTGTGACACTTAGTGACAGTGACATTGTATGCCAGGTGACCGCTTTTAGAGAAGAAATATTAAAATGTTAGGTGTTAGTTTTAGGCCGAGAAGTACAGTAAAATGTATAAGATCCTAGAGATGTGAGGTTTTTCCAAATAAAGGACAAATAAATGAATGTATTTATTGCATTTTTTTAGTTGTGCTATTTTCCCTAAAAAAACCATTACAAATCAAAACTGGGGGAAAAGTGTTTTTCTTTTGTTTTTTCCTCTTTTTTTTTTTTTTATATTTTACTTTGTCCTAAGTGAGGCGTTAGGGCTATATATTTATATCACATTCGTGTACCTATCTGTCCTCTAAAAAACAATATATGATTTGTTTGGGTGCACTGTCTAAGAAAGTATACTGACGTGGTAGAATCACACAGCAAAAGTGTGTCGGTCATTAACGAATAGAAACTAAAAACAAGCTCAGTCATGAAGGGGTTAATGTTGTAATCATTAAGTTTTGTTTTTAGTCTGCTTTTCAGTTTTATGGTTTCAACATGTTCAAGAGTCAGATCTCTACGCCTGAGTTCCAAGGTGCATCCACCTGCCATACCCATGACCAAAGGTTCTCACTTTCCATTTTAGAGTGATACTAGGGGCAGGACTGAGATTCTTTGTGTGGGTAGAAGTTGGAGAGCTGGGAAGTTTTGGTGGTTGTGATGAGAGTAAAGTGTGGGGATCACAGCTTGCACCCAACTTTTTCCTAAACCTTTTATCTTGCTTTTTTGGGTATCAAATGTTAACTGGCTCTTTAAAATGTCCTGCTGTCCTGTGGATTGGACTGTTGGCTTTGTAGGTTTTCAATAATTTTTCCCCACTAAATTATGGAGAAACGTGGAAGCTATTGTGTTCTTAAAATGAGTTGTATGTTGTGTTTTTGGGCTGTATATTTATATTGATGACCCACAGTGTGCTCCTTACACTTACCAGGTGGCAGGGCTACCACTAGTATAGCTTTTATTTTCTTTCTGGGCATCCCATTCTGTGATCTTTTAGTGACCTAAGGAAGAGGTGGACAAGTTTAATATAGAATTCAGAAGCCAGCCTATCCAGTCAGGTACCCCGCTCCATTAGCAACAACTTGAGAAAACCGTTAGGCGCCAGCTGTCATTTTTAAGGAGCATTGGCTATCTGGCTTGTGGGATTTGTCCAGCCCTGGGGCAAGGCACTTCTTTTGTTTTTCACTGCCTTCTAGTCTGAGTGGGGGCTACCTGTGCCTTAAACATAGACCTCTCATGGTCGTCTTGTGCTGCAGGTCCATTGTTGCATTCCAAGCCCACATGGACTAGGAAATAAGTAGCTTGTTTTTTTTTCTCTTGATATATACACTAATCGGCCATAACATTATGACCACCCCCCTAATGTGCTTTAGTAGGTGTCCCCTTTGCCACCAAAACAGCCCTGACCCATCGAGGCATGGACTCCACTACACCTCTGACGGTAGGTTGTGGTATCTGGCACCAAGCCGTCAGTAGCAGATTCTTTAAGTTCTGTAAAGTGCGAGGTGGGGCCTCCGTGGATCACACTTCTTTTTTCAGTACATCCCACAGATGCTTAATTGGGCTGAGATCTGGAGAATTTGGAGGCCAAGTCAACACCTCAAACTTATTGTGTGTGCCTCAAACCATTCTTGAACCATTTTTGCGGTGGGGCGCATTGTCGTGCTGAAAGAGGCCACTGCCATCAGGGAAAACCGTTGAAGGGGTGCATTGGTCAGCAACAATGTTTGGATAGGTGGTATGTGTCAAAGTAACATCCACATGAATGGCATGGTCCAAGGTTTCCCAGCAAAACATTGTCCAAGGCATCACACTTCCTCCA